TTTCTCTGAACTGCAATCTGGCCCTGAACACATGAGAGTATAATGAGCAAAAAAGGCAATGTTGTTGAACATTTTGTCTAAAATTTCTCTCATGCAAAAAGGAAATTATAAGAATATGACATTATTTTGATCGTGATAACAGTTTCAGCCTCTGCGTGCATGGTGTAATGTGCTTTTACACTGAAGAGATGGGTCAATCATTCAGTTCATTTTTCTGTTCTTTACATTTCCATAGAAACATGCTCCAGTTCCAGCTGTTACTATGTGTATAACTGTACATGGTTGTGCATACATGGGCTCACCTCATGCATCCAACTTATGATGATGAAGGAAGGCGAAGAGGAACGCTGCTACTTGTGATGATGGATGACGATGATCATATTGGAGGTGGAGTAAACGCAGAGCATGGAGATGAAGACAAAATGAAGCATGTAGAATTGGCTTTGTTTGGCTCAGTATGGTGACTAGAGGTCTGGCAACTAGCTTTTCCCCAAGGTCAGAATTAAACAGATTTTTGTTTCACCCACCAAGCAGATGCGGATTTGTGCCATCTTATAAAATTACTGTCCAATGAAAGCTCTGTAAGCTTCTCAAAATAACAACAGCAAAGCATGCATCTCATAAACTCTAATCCTTTTTTTTTGTTGTTGTTGAACATTGTTCAACTTTACTTGAGTCCCTTTGAAAAAAACAGTCTCCATCTGATTAAAGGAGAACCAGAAGTGGCCTCCCTTCCAGCAGAGAAAGATCATCATCATCATCATCATCCTTTATTAGCAGACTCAAGGTCCTTACCATAGTAACGGGCTTTGTCTGTACACAGAATCTATACAATGTGCTAAATCTAGAAAACAAATACTTAAAAGAACAAGAGCAGCCAAATGTCCTAAGAGTTCTTCCTTTTCTTTTTCTTATAATATGTGAAATTTTGATGTCCTATATCTAACCTCTATACATTTTAACCTTTGACTTGCTGCCGTCTATATAAAGGCATTTTGTGCTCACACAAGCTATTCGTGTCCACAGTGTAATGCAGTAAATTATCCCTTCAGAGTATGTTTTTAACCTTACTGTGGTCTCGTCCAGGCTTCGCAGTTAGCTTAGTTTTTTTTATAGTTGCTGCCATAAGAAACTTAAAGGCCAGGATTCTAAGCTATTCTATTTATTCAGTCTGTGAGCTTTGCATAGCTGTCTAAAATTGGAAACACCACAGGGAATCTGAATTTCCCCGTTCAGAGAGCAATGAGTCAGAAAGTCATGGAGGTAAAAAGGATCAGATTTGAGTCGATGCTAGTAGTGAAAACAAACTGGCTTCAGCGAGTTTATTTCCACTAGGGACGCCCATACTCAACATGTTTTCACTCAAAAACAAAAGAGAACAAAAGGTGCACTAGATAATGATTTCACATTTTATAGCTCGTTGAAGGATTTAACAATCCAGATGGTGAATATAATATAGATTTGAACACAAAAATAAACTGTTGTGTGGAGATATGAAAAAAAATCTCATTTTATGTCATAAAAAAGTAACATCCTCCAAGAGACACTGGAACCATAAACTGTAACATTCAAAGTGAGTAACGACTACATTATATAAAACATTTTAGTCAGAAGAGTTTACATTTATAAAGCGTACATGCTCTAATAATTTATGGCTCTTTACTAGTAAATACACAATAAATCATCCAATAAAAGCCTGACAACTCATAGCAAAATTAAGATGCATTAAATAACAACTGTGGCTGTATATGAAAACATTATTTTGGATTTTAATGGTGAGAGTTACACTAAAGTTTTGCAGGTAAAATGACTTGTGTTATATGGCATATTGCTAGAGCTTGAGTGTTAACCATAGTTGAAGTTTTGCCCAGATTTCTCTCCAGATTTAAAGACGGGCCATGCTTAGACTTTACTTCATCCCGTACCACTTCCTCAGTAATATTCTGTCTGATCCATATATTACATTCCCTTTTAAACAGCTAAATGCCCAACTTAAATCCAAATAAAATGAGCACAGTGCTTTTTAAATTATTATCCACTCATCACCCTTTAGTCCAGCTCCCTTCATTAAGTAAATTACTATACAGTAGGCATATGATACCGCACTGATATTATCATTCCCAGAGCACCACAGCAGTAATTGCACTGCTAGTGTTCTTGCTCAAAGGGTCGAGCATACTGCTGAAGCACAACTGCCATTTTAAACATAGGCTGTTTTACTTTACACTGCTTTGTAGCTGCCCATGTTTGGGGTTCTCTCATTAAATGATTGGCAGTAAAAGGTCAATCCTAAAGTTCCACAGGGCAATATTAACTGATTGTTCTCTGCTGAGATACAGGTGCTGTACGTTTATAATGAATCACTCATGTCCACTGTCAGAATAAATTAATGTAGTAAAAATGATTGGACTATAGAAACCAGACAGTGAAGCTAAGAGGATCAAGATTAGAGGTTGATTTTGAAATATAGCTACATCAGTACTATACACTCATATTAGCATAAAGTGCATGAGTTTTGAGCAAATTACCCACATATGGAAGATATATTAGATATAGAAGATATGCTATTTTACCCAACACTCCGAGGCGGTAGTTGAGGGTTATAACAATGACGTTGCCATAGCTTGCAAGCACGCTGCCATCCATCATGTTACCGGTGCCTTCTGTATATGAGCCACCATGTACATAGACCATCACTGGCCGCTGACCGCCCTCTTCATGGATGTCTGGGAAAGAGAAAGAAAGGCGGTGTTAGACAGAAAGATAGATAGATAGATAGATAGATAGACAGATAGATAGATAGATAGATAGATAGACAGACAGAGACAATAGGCCACTTACACAATCTGTGCCTCCCTATGCTTCATATCACTCTACCTTCATTTCTCAGCAGGTGGATATAAATTGAGACTATGGGAGTATTTGTGTCTGCAGCTGTGTATATGTGTGTGTTTGTGCGTATGTGCAGGGTCACATGCATGTGTATAGACCAATATGTATGCATGAGTGAGTCCGTGTCTTCCAACTTTCCTCTACAAGCAAAGGCATAAACCCCCTGGTGATTGATGCAGGTGTCTGCATATTAAGAGCTGGCTCAACCAGTGGCATGCACAGTGTCTGCAAGGGAAAGGTGGATGGGGATCCCTGACTCTTTAACAAAAACTTTTATTTACTTATTTAACAAGAGTATGTCTGTGCCCTGACAAGACAATTTCATGTTTCATTTATTTGTCACAGACAAATCACCCCCATGGTACAGCTTTGGTTAGCCAGTGGCACTTTGTTGTCACCTTAAGTCCAAATGAACATAAATGTAAAATCCTACATGTTACCATGCATGTTTATTTACTCCTGCCCTTGAGAGAGTCAGGGCACATATGTTTACTCACCTTCCTCAGTGGGCACATAGATATTGAGGTAGAGACAATCCTCGCTCTGGTGAGTGAGGTATGTCGCTGCTATATCCAGGTTAGCTGTGAGCCAGGACGGCATCATATCTCCAAGCATGCTCCTCTCATCCAGCGACTGTGGGCAGACGGGAGCAAACTGTGTCACATTTCGTATTCCTGGCCAGGGTAAAGGTGGCTCTGGGGGCTGAAATCGTCTGTCCCCTGTTGGAGGCCTTGCGTATGGTACTCCCAGGTACTGGATGACAGGTCCCAGGAGGTCTGAGGGCAGCGGGGTTAGGATGCCACGGATACGGCCCTGCGCCGTGGAGACGACAGGTACAGTCTGCTGCGCCAATGAGGAGCCCGGATAGAGAGAAAGGGAGAAGCAGAGGGAAAGGAGGAGGTAACAGAAGCCAAGAGGCGAGGAAAGGAATGAGAGAGGAGATGAGGGAGAGGGAGATCTCCTGATGGTCAGATCAGACATGATGGTATGTTTAGGGGAAGATGGCAATATGGGATGGGGGTGCAAGAGGGAGGGACTGGGGAAGAGTGAAGATTATGGTTGTGTTGACCCTTCAGAGGTATCCAACACCGACACACAGCTGCTGCTTAGCTTGGACCATAGCACTAACAACACACAGTCCTGACTCTTATAAACAACTGTTTCCACTAGTGTATTTGTCAGTCTGTCATGTGCGTTCCTGTGTGTGAGTCAGTGATTGTGTGCCTTGCAGTGTGTGGTGACTCAGCCAATGAGTGCATTGAATATGTGTCTGTATATATGTGTGGAAGTGTTTAAGGAAGCGTGTACGTCCTGGACCAGCGATTTGAGCATATGTGTGTGTATGTATGCGTGTGTACATGTGTGAGAGTCTCTTGTTATGTAAACAGTAGCATCACTGTTCCTCTGTCACTCTCTCCTTCCAGTCACCCCCATAACAAGCCCAAACTGCCTCCTGGAAAAGAGAAAGACATGCAGAGAGATGGAAAGAAAGAGGAAAGGGTATAATTAGTCTTCATTAGAATAATCACAGTGTGAAATAACTTAAACCATCACACACGCGAGAAGCATACACATGGCATCAGGATGGGCTGTGCTACCTCGCTGATGTTCATGTTGAAAATAGCCATGAGAGCGATAGATTGGGCAAATGAGATGTTGTCTGCTCAGCTTAACTTGGTATCAGACTAAGTGCTGTGTCACACAGGTGTGTGTGTGCGTGTGTGTGTCTGGTATGAGCTGTAACATACTGTATGTCACATCCTCACCACCAGATCACAGGACCTGGTTGAGGTTGGGTGGGAGGCTGGATGGGGGATGGAGAGCATGCCACATGCTTAATTAAACCCTGAATACACCATGGGGCTCCTCACCCGCATATAGCATAAGGTAGGAGGCCTGTGACTCACATACACGCGCACACACACGTTTTATTCTCTCTCTCCGTCTCTCCCACCCGCAGATGCATACACACACACACACACCTTCATTAGGTATATCTCTTAATGACAGACATACACCTTCTCAGATGTACGCGCACACACACACACACACATCTCTCTCTCTCTCTCTCTCTCTCTCTGAGGGGCCTTGGGGCAGAATATTAACAAATAAACACATACGCACACATGCACAGAGACAGCCACGTTGATTTCCATATGGTCGCGCGCGCGCACACGCACACACATCCACTTTAATAAGTGGAGTGTAAAATGATCTGTACTCTCGCTCTTCCATTATCTGCTGTCCAAGGTGCTAGTTAACATTCCAGTGGTGACCACACACGCTGATGAATAACGCTCCATTTATCAAGGCGAACCCGACTGCCGACACCCCCCCACCCCCCTTGGATATTTTTATAAAATAGAGATATTTTAAACCGCTCTGGTTTCCCATAAATACTAGCAAAGAAGAGGACGGTGGCAAAATAAAAGATAAGAGCAAATGTAGAAATGTAAATGCTTGCGTGTGAGGTAGAATATCCCGTCTAAATCTCTATCGGCACTGTAGCTGACTACGGCAAAATACACACACATAAACACACACACTCACATGAAAAGCCTCAACCTGCATCCCCGCTGCAGTAAAAATGCTCAGATGACATAATTCTGGATATGCCGTACCCAGCCCGGGTGAGATGTGTGAAAGCCCACGGTCCATGTCCCTGTTCCCGTCCACCGCAATATTCACCTCGTGTTTTCGCTGCTGCAGCTTCTCCGACGTGCCCGGGATGGGATATTGAGAGATATTCCTCTGCTGCTACTGCTGCTGCTGGTGGTGGCACGTCTCCTGGGTGGGAATAACCCAAAAAAAGAAACAATGCACTCAAGCCTTCGGTCCGAAAAAAAGTGCAAATGAAAAAATGACGTTTTGGATAAAGTGGAAATGTAAGTGTTTCTACGAGGAATACAGGGCCCAGGACGTTCAAATGATCAACCTCCCTCTCTTCCTTTCTGTCTCCTCCCTCCCCCATCTCTCTCGTTGCCTCTCTCTCCGTCTCCCTGTCTCTCTTTCTCTCCTCTCCTCTCGCTAGATGCGATTGGACAGTGTGGCAGGCAGCAGCTACTGATCCAATGGTACGCACCTTGCTCCGCGAGGAAGCGCAGCCTGGAGAGAAGAGGGGAGAGACAAGGAGAGGCGAGGGCCGAGGTGTGGGGTATGCAAGGGAGCACACACCTGCTCGCTGAAGTGCACACTATTACACAAAGCACCTTGGTGCATGATCATGCATGGCTTGACGCGTTCACAGTAAACACACCTGTAGAATGTTCAATCACACATAAAAAATATATATTCACAGAAAAATGAAACACTCTGTATGCTCACACAGACCTGTAGCAAACACATGCCAGCCACACCTGCACACACACTCTGTCTCACACACACCTTACTGTAGCACATTTACAAATGGTGCTGAAGTACACCATGACCTCTTCAGGACCAGACCCGGTGATTCTGTCCTCATTCTATTCAGCTGTGCGGCAAGCAGCTTTTCTCTTTCGGCACTGTGTGTCTGTGGTGTGTGTACACCTGGTATTACTCACATTCTGAGGACTGAAACCTGTGGGGGCTCGACCTTACTGGTTGAGACCAGATGTAAATCATTGAATTTTAGGGTGACAGCTTGTTTAAAGGTTATGGAGAGGCAAGTAGTGGTTATGGTTGCAATTTGGGTAAGTCTCCAGCAAATGAATGTAAGTCAGTATAAAGTCCCAATGAGAAATCGAAACAACTGTGTGTGTGTGTGTGTGTGTGTGTGTGTGTGTGTATGGTAATGCAACGGGTCTGCAGTCAAAGCTAACTGTGTTTGGGAACACTCCTCACGTCAGCACAGCCTGCTGCAGCAGCATTCAGGACTTTCTATTCATCTCCTCAACAATCCTCCATCCACTCATCCATCTCTTTGTCTGCCTGCCTGCCGTTTGGTCTGCTCATGCACGTTTGCTTATTCCTCTGTGGTACCTTCTACTGGTGTCCTTCCTCTCTCTCCTTTCTGCTCAGGTTGTGTAAGTATCTTTGTTTTTAATAAGGCAAAAGAAAACAAGAGAGTTCAAGTCATTTGTAAAAAGACTTTATTTGTGAAGGCGGTGTTCGAGAGGTGATTTAGAAGGATGGCATTGACTTAGAGTCTAAGCTGTACAAAGCCATAGGGCCCCTAACAGCAAATGCCCTGTCACTCATCTTTTAAACTGAATCTGCCAAAACCCCTTGCATTAGTACCTGGAGCTGAGCTCAGGCTGCTGTTGGATTAAAAGGTTAGAGTTGTAGCTAGCGGTTAGGCTCAGACAGCTGAAAGAAGTTATCAATAAATCCGTGGAATAACTCTGAAACTGCCAAGCTATGAATGTAAGGGCATAAAAATAAGCTACAGCAATTTGCACTAGTGGAGATGAGTCATGCCTTCTCAGTTGAGAGATACACGAGGATTCAAGATTTGAGTCAAATACCTCAGAAAGCACATTTAATTATGTGCTACAAATTATGTTGAAAATATCTGGGACATGTTTATGTTGATTTGCGAGAGTTAGTCAGAGGATGAGCTTTGGGTAAAAGATTATACCAAAAGTCTATTATCAGGAAAAAGCACCAAACTGACCTCTGATATCGATTTGAAATGGATCCAGGGGCAATTGTGAGGTGCAAGAATCAAAAGCAACACCTCAGTTTTGTCAGAGTATAGAAGATTATAAGTTGTGGTGTTTGATGTTGTGAGAAGCTGAGGAGCTGTGAACTGTCAGCTTTAAATACAGATCACATCTGGATCTGTTAGAACTGAGCACCCACACACCTGGACATTGGCACTCTAAAGGACATAGTGTCCACTGTTTCCAAATTAAGCCGAGAAAATACAAATATTACAAAATGCTTAAAGCACCGTTTTGGGCAATTGTTCAGTATTTCCTGCTGGTTTGATCGGTGCTGTTTTTAGATTCTCAGCCTAGTGCCAAACCTGCACAATTAATGTTAGAAATCTTTAAACACACATTAGTACTAATCTTAGTAGTGCATCTTGACAGTGGGTGAAGCTGTGCCAGAAATCTTGACTCCATTTATCATTGTTAGTAGGCAAGGGAATTATAGTGAAAGGCTCAAATGCACTATGAGAGAAGAAACGTACGGCTGAATTCTAGTGTGTGGAATAGGGCTAATAAATATGCAGGGCCTTGAAAAAGTCTGAAAATCCTAAATTTTACATTAGCATGAGAAACACCTTACTGCTCAATTAGACTGCAATATGCATAGAGCCTGGATTTTCACCTACTAAGCCTCAAAACACAACGATTTTCTGAATGATTAAAGAAAACATAAAAGAGTTAAAAGATCACATTTACAGGCAAAAGAATAGTTGGTAAAAATAAGGGAACAGTTGAGTCACATGGACCAGAGTAGTCCTTTTGTTTTGTTTTTTAAAAGATGTTTGCTGTTCGAGCCATTATGACATTATACCCATCATGTCATTTTGACCATTAGAAGTTTGAGCTGAACTACAGTAGAAATTATTTTAGAGAATTTCAGCTCATATCTGACTATTTTCAGTCAATTTAAACTTTGGTTTTCAAACACTGCCAGTAGCTGCCAGTATTAAATTACTGTGGAAACTGTGGTGTAAATATAACACATATAGTGGACAATCTGCATAGCAGCGAGCTCAGCGTCATCTGGCACATAAGGCAGCTGAGCAAGTAGCTTAGGGTGAGACTGCACCTAAAATTGAATACACAATATTTATCTGAAATAATTCAGCAAATACAACCATTAATTGAAATAATAATGTTTCCATTTAACCAGCAGGACAAATTGTATTATTAGGTGTGTTAATGACGATGATTATCTCCCATTATTTGCCTGACGCAGACCCTGCTGGTTGAAACGTAGCATTGTCTAATAAATTGGATGAGCACACAATTTCTGTCTTTTTTTACAATGATTACCTGCCAGACACTCTCCTCTTCCTTGGCTAGTATACTAGCTTCATACAACTAGAGGAAGAGTGTGAAATGAGTTGCAGCCAGAACTGCTGAGAGGCTTTCTTGTTTTCTTTCCAATGCATTTGTGCTTCAGTTACACAGTTTAAATACCTCACTAAGTGCAACACCAGTGGGGGATCTGAGTGACACACACAACTGCCCCTCTGGTCAGCTCTAGTGTTTCTAAAAGCACCTCTGAATCGCCCAGTTTCCCAGCAAGAGCCCTCCTGGTTCCCACTCCCTGGTCATCTTCAGCGCCATCAAACACCCCTCTTGTTGGGCTAAATGCTATTCTGCTTAGCTGAAGGGCTGCTCTAGTGTGAAATTAGGGCAACAATAAACCTGTAGCCTGCGCACTGGAGAGGTGGTCCCTGTTCAGTTTCACCACTGCCTCATACAAATCAGTGACTGGAGACCGAGCTTATCTGTGCATGCAATTGTTAAAGATATTGCGCGTTTGTTTTCCATTCTAGTGACTTTATTTCTCTGTTTACCTCTTCAGGCATCTTCAGTCTAAAACTTGTTTTTTCTAAAACATTTCATTCTATATAACTACACAGACAAACACTTTGTATTTGTCACAAGGCAGTCCAGGTTTCATTTTTTAACATTCCACATTACATACATTTGTCCATTCATTCATCTTATCAAATTAATGTTGCTCCTTCTCTCCATCACTTTTAGTCCAGATTAGTCCACCATTCACTCATCTCCCAATCCCTCCAGGTTTTCTGTCTCTCCTCCCACACATTTGCTCTGTCCTTCTATTAAATTATCTTTCCGTCTCTCAGCAGTCCAGCTCTCTTTCAGCTCACCCATCCCTGCCACAGCTCCTGGTCTCTTAAAATATTTATTGATTTCTTAAACATTTTTTCTGTCTCTTTGAAACACACAACTCATCTGTAACACACTGCTCTGTGCAAAAACACAATCTATTTACACTAACTCACATACATTGTGTACTTAAAATTGGAAATTATTAGTTGAAAATACTTTCCAGTTTGATGCTTTACTGTAACATATAGTATTATGTGACAGACTGTATGTGATATACCTAACAGTCCTATTGAGACCCGGAATATCCTGTGACATTTTTGTTTTCTACTGAGACACTGGAGCTATCACCGTGGCTGGTGTTTGATCCAAGTTATTTTAAAGTCCCTGAAGCAAAATCATAAATACAATTGGATGTGTGTAGTGCTGTAATCCCAGTAGAGCCTCATCAAAATTGTGCAACAGGAGAATGTAGAAAATTCTGTAAATGTAGTTATACTGCCTCTGAAAAATAATGAAAAAAAAAGACTTGCTCAGCCTGGGAATCCAGTTACCAAAACTCACTTTCACCTGTTATTAGATCAAACTTGTTGCTTATCTCATAAAATTGCTGCTTGTAAACCAGATTTTAAACTGTATTCTATGTATGAGACTTAGTGCTGTTATCAAAGCTCACTGTCACTGAAATAACCTTTCCTTACTGCTGCCTGTGCACAAATATTCAATCAGACCATCTTAGAGAACATAGTCAAAATAAAGAGCAATACTTCACGGCTGGTCTCTGCATTTCCTGTGTACCCTCTTGACATGAATCTCATTTAAGACACAAGTGTTCCAATTAAATTTCAGTCAACCTGTGTAATGCTGTCTGAGAGCTTCTCTCCTCCTGCCCATCTCCCACGCCGTGGCTCACTGGTGTAGCTATGCTTTAAGAGGTATTTTTATCCCTCCCATCATATTATATGGCTGGGCAGTCAAATCAAGTCAGATTTATTTATAAAGCCCTTGTCACAAAGTGCTTTGTCATAAAATGCTTCAAAGAAAACAAAGGACACACAAACAAATATTAATTCAAGGGCTAATAAAAGACCAAACCAAGAGCAAAGGAGAAACGTCAAGTCTGATTGTGAATATGCGTCCCTGGCTGTCAGCAGCAGAATATATAAAAGCAAAGTGTTTTCATGAGACATGCCAGAGAATCACAGATTGTAAACAAAACAAAGCAGCCACAGAGAAAAAGATGGCTGCCTTCTATTATTTACTGGGCGTGTAGTGTGGAGCAAAGTGTAACACGTTGTCTGAAATGATTAAA